CATATCTCTGAAACCAGAAGAGAGCGCCACAAAATTCAAAGTGCGTGTTACTTAGGAATGTGCCCTCTATAATATATGTAAAAATGAAAATGATCCGTGAGGTGTAAGTTAATCTGAACATTTACCAATAATATAATAATATAATATATATAATATATAGAATATAAAATATAATAAATGTTTAAAAATCGTTCAAATCTTTCTCGACATCTACAAACATCTTAAAGAGCGTTATACACTTCAATATTATTTGATATAAGATTGAGTAATATTGCAAATGTCTGTGTCTTAATTTATGTGAAATTTTCAAAATATGTATATTTTTTATATAACGTAATGTTTTCAGAAATTTAAAAGTTGTCTAAACAAATTAAATATTGTGACTGACACTTTGGAAAAACTTGGGACGCCAAATAATTACACGAAACTACGCATGCATATTAAATGGTTAATCATTGGATGGATTATTTTAGTCTTCTTCTTGAACATGCTTGACAGTCTATGGGCAATCGGACATACTCCCTTACTCACCTCTTATGTTGTAATAGTCAAAATATATCAAACATTCGGCGTAAACCATCCGTTTCATATTAACATGCTCTATGACCTGACATTTATGATACTGCTAAGGTATATATAACATTGCAATAAGGTATGATAACATTGCAATAAAATTGGCTTTTACTATACAACAAAATGCAACGACAAGTCAAGCACATATTATTTATACTAAATTATTTATTATACAAATTAATGATTACAAATTAATTATTTTATATTACATTTTCAGATATATTGAATCTCAATTCGAGCACATAAATCAGCATATTCAAGAACTTACAGAGGAAAAAAAACGGCAAATAAAACATACTTGGGCAACTTCTAGTTCATATCGTAGTCGTCGACACATGGCTAGCACCGAAACAACTAAGCAACTCATATGGATTTTAATGTAAATCTAATTAAGAAAAAGATCATCTATGTCTTTTCAAATAAAAAGAAGCATTAATTAGGAATGCATATTTATATTCTGCTAGTGTTGCAAAGTTTTGCTTTTATATAAAAAGATTTCTGTAATCAAAGAAGTTTGAGAGCTACGGATATATGAAATCAAAATCTCTATTATATACATATAATATACAAATTTATACAATACATATAAATTTAATAAATACTGTACAATAATCTTTAATCAAATGTTTTTATAGGCATATACACCTGGAATTAAGCTCAATATCACGTGAATTAAACACAATATTTGGATTTCATATGGCCATACAGACGACCACAATACAGATTGCTACAATACAGCTTGCTATCGCTTTTTATAAAGCAGTTATGGTGATAAGTACATACTCGACATTTCTAATGACAATCAATATTTTGCTCACTTTGATTTGGGCTATAACCAACATCATAAAAATAATTATTTTTAATTGCGTCTGCGAAGGAATTTGCACCAAGGTATGTTTATATAAAAAAATATATATATAATATATAAACAATTAAACAATATTTATAATTTACTATTCTGTTATTCATACATGTCAATAAAATATGTTAATATAGATATTTATGGAAAGAATTTTTTAACTATTTATATTGATCCTCAATTATCAGTCAAAGCCGCTTTAAAATTTTTTAGCATTAATTTTACTTAGTATATTAAATTTAATTGATTTTTTAATTAATATTAGGCAAATAAAACCGAGTTGTTTCTCAATAAATTGACAAACTTTACTATTGATGTCGAGACACAGAACATTGTAAGCAAGGATTCTTATTTTGTATGCATGCTTTGTGTACAAAAAAAAGTTTAACGTTTCTAATATTAAACAATTATTTATAGATAACGCAGTTTCTGTTACATTTATTAGGGCGTCCACTTAAAATTTCCGGGCTTGGATTTTATTTTTATGGCTATAACTTTATGCAATGGGTTTGTACTTATTTAGATAGCTGTAACACAATTATCAATTTCTTAAATTGCAAACTTCTAACTAGATTCAGTTATAGTCCTAGTATTTAAAATAAGAAATTTATTATACGAAATTTATAATATCAATATAGATATTATTACCTCATCAAAGTATTCTATAAATAACATTTGATACAAGAAACAATTTTTCTTTCAGTTGGTGCGAAACGTTGCCACAATCATAATAATTATTATACAAACACAAGCATTTGAAAAAAATTAAACAGCATTATGTTGTTTAAAAAATGAAGAAACACAAATGGTATTTGAAAACACAAATATATATCAGATTTTGATTTATGCCATACAATTTTGTAATAAATAATTTAAAGTCATTGTTTACATCGAGCAACGATATTACCAAATGTATCAAGTTTATAAAAGTATGCTTAAAAATATACATAAAATGGTATATACCTATATATGTGGTATTAATTATAAATTATGCATACTTCTGCGTTCGTTAACACAGATAGCTTTTATAAGCAACTACTATGCTCACAATAGAATTCGGTTTGAACCATTTAATTTGATATATATTTGTTAAGATCTATCTCCTTTTGGTTTAAAAGATAAAAGATGGTGGCCACTTTTGATGGGACACCCTGTATATATATATACAATAACTCTTTTTTTCAGTTTGTCAGAAGCGCTTTATTGATTATAATAATTATAATATTTGAAAACCAATAGAAGTATAAAAAAAATATTTTGTTGTGACAAAAGAGACGAAATAATATCTAAAAACGCAAATATATGCCGTCTTTTATCTTTGATCCGCTTCTTTCACTGCAATTCAAAATATTTTAGCTGTTTCACTCGCACAAGAATACTTTCTTGCAGCAGATCGATGTTTTTTAATCTACTTAAGTACTAACGCAAGTTATTGATAGAATTAAAAAATGGTTGACTTTCCAAGTATTTAATCAACAAATATACTCGATATAATAAATTTTATTATCTCACATGAACACGACGGACATTTACTTTCTTTCATAAAGTAAGTTCTTAGTTGAATCCCGCGAAGAGATGGCCATAAAGAATGTTCGAGCGGCTATATCTCCAGTTTTAACCATATTGTGCTTATGCGGATCCGGGGTGTTTGAATATCCTCAAGGTCAACCGAGATTATATTTCAGCATCTTTTATAATTTTATATCGTGGTTGTTTCATATTTTTCTCGTCATTAAAGCAAAGATATTTTGCCAAACATATTCTAAAGATGAATTCGATTTACCTATAGCTGTTACAACTAGTATAATTTTCGGAGTGTTATACATGCTCGTTACTGTCTATTACGATAAGGTATGATATATATGATGTGATCATGTAAATATCAAAAAGATGATTTTTTTATATTTTCTCACACATACTTATAATCTAACATAAAGAAAAATATTTGTGATTGTATTATGTGAGCTTATTTTGAAAATGTCTCAAATTTATGTGCAAAAGTTAATTCACATTTTATACGACACAATATAAAACGACAAAATATTTTTCTACATATATTATATAAGTATAATTATACATCTCTTTGTGTTATAATGTATCTCTTTTAGAAATTTAAGAGTTGTCTGAATAGATTAAGCATTGTGGACGAGACATTGGAGAAGCTTGGAACGCCGAAGAATTATATGAAATTACGCAAACAAATTATATGGCTAATCATTGGATGGATTGTCTCGATCTTTTTCATGGATATAATCGATAGTTTATGGTTCTTTATACACATGGCAGAATATCAGATCGTAATAGCTGTATGCGGGTCATTAATTTTAAACTATTCGTATCATATCAGTGTCATTTATGATTTAAAGTATATGATACTGCTGGGGTTTGTATATAACATTGTAATGTAATAAAAATTATTTTTAACAAACTACAAAATTATCGAATTGATATTGAAGTGTCATTAATCAGAATCAGGCAAATCATGCAAATACAATCTATAAATTAATTATTATAAATTATATTTTGTTTTGTATTGCAGATATATGAAAACTCAATTTGAACATGTCAACCAACATATTCAAAAATTAACAGAATTAAAGAAACGGCAAGTGAGACGTGCCTGGGCGACATCCACTTTGTCCCTGATGAGCCGCCACATGGCTGGCACCGAAACATCTAATCGAATCATATGGATCTTAATGTAAGAGTAATCGAAAGCATTAAAATAGCATTAATAAGCTAGCAGTTCTCGAATATTGTTTACGGTAATAATAATATAATTGTATATAGTAAGATTGTACATAGTAAGAGATTTATATATTTATATTATTTACATACTTGGAGAAAATAACATTTATTACCATTATTATGTATAAAAAACAAATAAATATATTTGCATAATTTAGTAAGATCTAGTTGCTTCTTTAATATGGAAAAACTCAATAGAAAAATATAATATATAATCTGCCGTGAAAACTTTGCAAAATTTAATTTCATAAAGAGAATTTCATAACCAGCATAAAGTTTGAGAGTTACAAACATACATATAAAGTTAAATATTTACTACATTTTATTATATATGCATTTTTTACCCAAAAATGTCGTTCATCAAATGCATTTTGCAGGCATATTCATCGCGAATTGTGCTCGATAACGAATCAATTGAACACAATATTTGGATTGCAAATGCTAATGCAAACCATTGTATTTCAACTCTTTACAATCCAGCTTATTTACGAATTTTATAAGTATGATCTTGTCACGATAAACGATACATCTACGTATTCAGCGATTAATTTTTTAAATACTTACTTTTGGGCCACAGTCATCATCGTCAAAATGATTGTCTTCAATTATATCTGCGAGGAACTTTGCACTAAGGTACACATATTTATACAAAATGCTATAACAATTAAAAAATTATAGTAAAATAATAATAAAGAATCTGTTTTTTATGTATTTTTTTTTATTTTTAAAAATGTGTTCTTTTTTAGTCACTTATTTTAAAATGTAGTTACTCAAAAACTGCTAAAAATTTTATATTATTCGAAAAATACAATAAATCTTTTATAGCTTACATTTTAATCCACATAATAGAATCAACATAATAATCTATATAATAGAATTATATTAAAATTAGGCAAATAGAACCGAGTTTTTTCTCAACAGATTAACAAATCTTACTTTTGACGTCGAGACGCAGAAAAATGTAAATATAAAATAATTTAAATAAATATATATTTACGCAATATTTAGCGTTTTAATTACTATTTAGCGTCTTAATTAATTATTTACAGATCATGCAATTTCTATTGCAAATATTACAAAGACCACTAAGAATCTCCGCACTTGGATTTTTCTATTTTGGTTATAAATTCATCCTACAGGTCTGTAGTTATTTTTCTGTAAATATGATTATTACTTTAAGTAATTCAATTTTCGATAAATATATAAAAAATAAAATTTTTGTTACAAAGAATATAATATTTTAATTTAGACAATCAAAAATATTTATTATACAATATTACAAAGTAACTCAAATAATATAAAAAAACCAATTTTTTCCAGTGTATAAATTACATTGGGGCAATCATAATATATGCGCTACAATCACATTCCTGAAGAGATACTATAAAATAAAAAGCAGAATATAAAGATATATCGATTATTTCCTTCTTTCAATGTATATAGTAATGTCTCATACTGTTCATTATTCCGTCATTTAACATATTCACTTTCAATTAAACATTTTACAATATTAATAACAGTTGCTTTTGGAATATATTAAAATAAGAGTAATAAAATGTTAACATGTGATTTATTAACAATAAATAATAATTTTAATCGTACATATTTAAATAGTTAAAATATTTTAAGTAATTTAACTTATTATGTGCTCTCTCCAATTAATGTGTAGAAATTATTTTTTTTATAAGGTTAGTTTTATGTATTTATTATTCTTATCGTTGTGTAACGAAAAAATTTTGGTCATTATTTCTTGTAGTTGTACATATATTATTTAATTGTTACATTTTTCAATAATATTATAGTTATAATAGATATGCGCTACATCTTGTTATTATATATAAATATTTAGATATCTATATAATAGTACAAACTCTCGAATCAAATAATAAAGAAATGTCATTTGTATTAATGTTATAAATATATTTGTTCTATATAAAAACGAAGCAAATTTACCCGTTTTTTATTAATAAATCGACCGTCTAAGCTTCAGTGAATCGATTATTTCAATATCCATAAGTACTTTAATTGAAATTACTGCTGCTGTTACCATGCGGTGCCACTAACGCAATCATCAGTTCATAATCGAAACGGTATGTGCAATGATTAAGAATTTCCGAGCGGTTCTAGCACCTCTTCTGATAATTAGTTATGTGTGCGGTTTAAGGATTGTCGAGTTTCCGACAGGTCTTCCAAGATTGTGGTTCAGTCTGTTGTATATATTATTATTTTGGTCGGTTTATTTTTTCCTCCTGATGTATACAGTAATTCTTATAATTCTTAATAGTACAATTTATTATTCCATTGCTTATCACATTTGTCTTACACTAAACATTTTTACAATGTTAATAACAATTGCATGTGGAATGTACTACGATGAGGTAAGAGAAATGTTGGCATGTGATTTATTAACAATAAATAATAATATTGATCATACATATTTAAATGATTAGAGAATATATGTATTTCTAGTAATTTAATTTGTTATATGCTTAAGTAATTTAACTTGATATAATTTATAATATTTATTTAACGAAAGAAAATATAAAGACGTGAGACACGTTTTACGCCTTTATACAGCGTATATTACTACACAAATCTTTTCTTTTTTTGCTACATACATATATGTCCAACACAAAATTCTTTTGGAAAGATATAAAGAGAGAATAATAATATAAAAATTTAAGAAAATAATATATCTTTTTAAAAATATGATAATTATATAACTTAAAAAAAAGAAAAAAGGTAATAATTGTATATCCAATAAGATATAAAATTATTAATTTGTAAAATTCTATAATTAAGCTCTTATTGTTAGATAACTTTATCTATTTACTTACTACTTTTTATTTACTTATCTATTTACCATTTTCTATTTACTTATTTATTGTATATTCTCTTACAACAGAAATTTAGAACCTGTTTAAAAAGGATCGCTATTGTTGATGATACTTTGGAACAACTCGGAATAACGACAGATTATAAGAAGCTATATACAAGAACAATATGGTTTGTTGTAGGATGGTTCGCAATAATCATATTAATGATTTATATGGAAGCTGTATGGTTAAGACATCAATATGGTCTTGATATATTAATAACCATCTATTTTCCTTTTTTATTAAATTTTTGCACTCATATGAATCTCATTGATGACTTAATTGTTGCTAATATTCTTGGGTGAGTACAAATACATCTCTTCATATATATCGAAATTGCTCTAAAACAATCATGCGTACACAAATATTAATAAGACACACATATTATCATACATAAAATTTTTAACACAAACTTTTTTTAAATATATTAAAAAATTCCATTCTGATGCATTTACCTATATCTGACGTAAACAATATCACTATATTCATTATTATATATATATAT